GGGCCCGCCCGCACACCCGCAAAGCTTTCAGAGTCCCGCCCCCGACGGCCCCTACGTCCAACAGTCTGCGCGCTCGGCTCGCTCGCACCAGACCCCTGCGGAAAGGGGGGGAGGGGGGGGAGAGGGGTCCGAACCCCCCCCCCCTTCAAGGGGGGGGGGGGGAGGGTCCCGAACCCCCCCCCCCCTTTCCAAGGGGGGGGGGGTAGGGGTTCGAACCCCCCCCCCCCCTTAAAGGGGGGGAGGGAGGGGGTGGGGGGGATCTCGGACCCCCCCCCCCCAAAGGGGGGAGTGGGGGGGGGGGGTCCCTGGAGCACACCCCCCCTTTTGTGTCTTCAAGGTGATCCACTGGCGCTCTTTCCATATGGAGCACAACTGAAGGCCCCAGTGGCTGCGTCCCGTTCTAGCAGCCCCTCGTTCAAGAAGGTTGGTTTCTACGCCTGGCTGATGAATTGTGGCTCGATTGGCACGTCCGAGATGAGCACAGAGGAAAAATGGGCACGATACACAGCAACAGATGTTGTCCCAATCCGGCAGCAGCCGCTGTTGGGCAGGTGACTTGTTATCTCAAGTGACACAGTCCGTGGCGGCACCGACAGCGAGTCCTGCTCAAGATGGACGAAATGTGCTGCCGTTCTTTGTCCTCATTCTCGCTGCAATCACTAATACCCATTTCGATCCTACCGAGTCGAATCCTGGCTCAGCCTGCCGTAGTCCAGACCTGGCAGGGTCATCGAGAGCTCCACGGCGTCCCTCCGAAAAGACACCTGGTACGGCTTGGACCCCGCCTGTCGGGCCGTCAGCGCGGCATTGACGCTGTCTCCGTCAACCGCCCTGCCATCGATGCCGTTGACGTACCACCCGGGCTGCACGCCGAGGTCAAAGCCCTGCCTGCCTTCGACCACTCTGTACACCAGGCCAGTCTCTGGGTCGTAGATGATCCCGTGCCTCCCAGGCGCCAGGGACAGGGTGACCGCGCTTGGGTCATCCTCTGCCTGCTCCTCGAGCTCACCGTCCCCGCCGCCGCCGCCCACCGAAGCCGCTGGGACACCGCCAGCAGTGACGAAAGCCGAGTCGTCCTGCCGCCGTGCCTGAGCAGCCGCGGGCGGCGCCACCTCGGGCGCCTCCGCGGGAGGGAACATCGGCGCCAGGGCAGGCGCCGCCTGCTCGGGCATCGGCTCCGCCGCCGCCACCTCCGTCAGCGCAGGCACCGTCGGGGCCAGCACGGGCGCGGCCCCGAGATGCGCCGCCAGGGCTGGCACCGTGGGCGCCGGGACGGGCACCGCCCCCGAGCTGGACGCCGGCGGAGCCACCTCCGCCAGCGCCGGCACCGTCGGCGCCAGGGCGGGCGCCGCCACGTCCCGGGAGGGCCGCGGCGGGGCCGGCGGCAAGCGCGGGGCCTCCTTCTGCGCAGACTTCAGCAGGGCCCTGTGCGCCACCTCCCAGCGCCTCTCCTCGGCGGCGAGCAGGGCTCTCTCCTCGTCTGCATGGAGGCCCCGAAACGGGCATTGAAAGACATGGCCACGATGCCCAACAGCGGTGAGCGAGCGAGCGTCCATCCGGCTCTACGGCGAGTAGAGCCGCGCCCACGTGGGCGGGACGGGAAAGAGCCGTAGCCCTTCAGGAAAATGTGAATGGCCTCATGTCGTGGTCAAAAAACTGGTCCTCCACATTCCGCCATCCTGCATTTCTGATTGCCATGCGTGACCACATTACGTATGCCACTGATGCATAACAGCGGACGCTGTCCGAAACCGACAGCGGCCGCTGCTGGGCAGTCGATCTCTTGTCCAAAGTGGACCACTCGTCACCACTCTTTCGGCACTCTGGGCAACGATCGGGGGGACCAGCCCAGGGGGGGGAGGGGCGAAGCATCGACCTGCAATCAGCGATACATCGCTGCTGGGCGGGGCTGGCTACATCAGGCCCCTAGCGGCGATCATGTGCGATTGGGGTGTATCCTCCTGAGCCTGTCCCCCCTTAACGTCGCCCCGTGGCTATCAGGTCATATCTCGGCTCTCTGGCAGCCGTTTAGGAACTTCCGAGCACCCCCAGAACGCTCTCAGCGAGGCGCAGCTGCTGGAGAGCATCCCGAGGCTGAGAAACCACCGAGAAGCGGCGAAAACATCCAGAAACCTCAGGCTAGGAAGGCCCGCAACGTTCCTCCCATTGAGCCCGTCCCGTCCCAACGCTGACCCTGACTTCACGGTCGTACCGATCCTCGTCCAGCCGCTGGCGCACCGCGCTGTCGTGCCGCTCGGCCTCGCCGGCGAGCTGAGCGTGCTGCGCCGGCAGCCAGCCGTACCCGTCCTTGGGAGGCCAGCAGACCAGCACCGACACCGTCTGCCAGAAGAGCTACGAGAAGGGGGACACGCAGAACAGCTACCCGTACCGCTACTCCACGAACCATTCCTGGGGTGCGTTCTGCCAAGGAACTCGAGGCAAATCCAGCCGTGGCGGCGAGGGAGGGGCAGCGGTATCGCAACAGTTCCTCCTCTGGGAGAAGCTCCTGTGGGCGCCCCAGTCGCGCGCCGCCACAGCAGCTCAGATCCCTCCTCCTCCTCCTTCTCCTCCTCCTCCTTCTCCTTCGCCTCCTGAGGGAGAACGGTAGCGAGGGACCTGATTAGGGGGAAGCACCGAGGTTGAATCGGCGATACATGGCCTATAGATCGGCAAGATGTCGTTACAGCATATCCGAACGTTCCTGGGCGGTGTGGGCTATATCAGGCACCTATCTGCGATCAATGAGCGATTGGGGGTCGATGCATCCCCCAAGAGCCTGTCCCTACCAATGGTTGCCCCTCATCTCCTCCTCCTCCTCCTCTTCATCTTCCTCCTCCTCAGGGCTGGACCTAAACGTTGTTTTTCGTTTCGGTTTCGTTTTGTTGTTCGTTTTGCTCGTTTCCCGTACCATCCCGGTCAAAACGAAGAACCAAACACAGCATAAGTCCAGCAAAGCAACATTTAGGTCCAGCCCTGTCCTCCTCCTCCCCATCCTCCTCCTCCCAATCCTCCACTTCTTTTCCTTATCCGCCAGCCCCCTTGTGGGGCCAGCAGGCTGTAGGCCTAAGGATGGCAGTTTCCTGTACCAGTTGCAGCTTCCAATTTCCACTGTTACACATCTGCTTCTTTGCAGCTTCCAGTTTCCACTGTTACAGTTATGCTTTTTGCTGCTTACTGTTCCTTGTTGATGGACCGCGCGAGGGGGGGGAGGCCCAAAACGCGCATTTTTACCACGCCCTGAGCGTGTTGTCTGAATTGCTGGGGTGAGTAAAAATGTACACCCCTCACGCAGATCGGCGGGGTCAGGGTCCAAAAAAACATGGGATTTGCCAGATTCCTAACATGCGGTTGCACCCCTCACGCATATCGGCGGGGTCAGGGTCGCAAAACACAATGGGTTTGCCACATTCCTAAAATGCGGTGGCACCCCTCACGCAGATCGGCGGGGTTAGGGTCCAACAACAAATGGGATTTGCCACATTTCTAAAATTCAATGGCACCCCTCACGCAAATCGGCGGGGTCAGGGTCCAAACACATATGGGATTTGCAACGTGTCAAAAAATTTGCTGGCACCCCATCACGCAGATCGGCGGGGTCAGGGTCCACAAACACAAGGGATTTACCACATGTCAGAGATTCGGTGGCACCCCTCATGCAGATCGGCGGGGTCAGGGTCCAAAAACACAAGGGATTTACCACATGTCTGACATTCGGTGGCACCCCTCACGCAGATCGGTGGGGTCAGGGTCCAAAAGCATATGGGGTGCGCAACATTTCTGACATTCGGTGACACCCCTCACGCACATCGGCGGGGTCAGGGTCCAAAACACACATGGGATTTGCAACATTTCTGAAATTCGGTGGCACCCCTCACGCAGATCGGCGGGGTGAGGGTCGAAAGACAAACAGGTCCCGACACTGCTTCACGGCGGCGCCCAGAGCTTATGATTTAGCTTTTGCATCTCCCAGTATCCGAGACAGGGGGCTGGCGGCACGGGGCGAAGCTCTTACGGATAAATAACTCCTCCCTGTCGCACCCCAAAGCCGTTCGAAAAGGCGGGCTGGGCGTTTCACGTGATACTTCCTCACCATGTATGGTCCTAACAGTTTCACATATGGAGGGTGGGTCGCTTCCAAAAAATGGCTCCAGCCTCAGCGCCGCGCACACTCGCAGTAAAGGTTCGCTGGAGCTTCAAGAATTGAGGGCGGCTCGGTTTCCAAATGTGGCGCTCGCCTTCGCGCCGCGTACTCGTTTTCAAAGTTGCAAGAGCACCAAACATTGAGGGCGCGTGGTTTCAATACGTCGCCCCCGCTTAAAAAATGCGATCACTCTTCTTAAACGTGTGCAAGAATTTCACGGGTTGAAAGAAGGTCGTGTTGAACATGTGGCTCTCGCTCGAGCGCCACACAAGTTCGCCTCAAATATGGCCCAAGAGCTTCAAATATTGAGGGCGTGTCGTTTTCGAAATGTGGCTCTCGCCTTTGAACATTGCAAGAGCTTCAAGGATCGAGGGCTGTCGCCTTAGCGCCGCGCACATTCGTCTTACAAGATTATAAGGGTGCCACGAACTCGCGTAGTCAAGGTGCCAGGAACGGCGTTCTGGAACGATTCTGGTTTGCTACGGCGCAACAATTCCGTTGATGAGCGGTGATGAAGTTTTTTTGTTCTGCAAGGTTACCTTACGGTGTCTCAAGAAGTCTATACATTGATACATATCCTGCATAGATCAGCTGGCTATACAATTGCGTCACATGCGTGCGAATCCTATGCATTTACCCTCACGCGTGCATGCACTAGAGACGGCAAGAGGGTGGGCGTGGCCTCTCCGTCGAGCTTCGCGTCTCGCCTCGCGATCGGCGAGGTCGAGTGCTGACACAGTCTCTGGCGGGAGGGGAGGAGGAACAGTACGCATCAGTTGCGCCCAACAGCGCTGGCGTCGGCTGTCTGATAAATGTGCTATGCATCGCAATCTCTGCTTAATTCTGTTTTGCATACAGGACGAATACCACGCTCATCAACGTACAGACGTGCGGGGCACCTGAGCATGTGTTTCGTACGCTGGTGCATCTTCAACGCCCTGCTTGCGAGAAAGGCAGGGCGATTCGGACAGATGCCACAAACAAACGGGAGCGCAGTCTCACCAAGGGGGGGCTGCCCCTGCGTTGTTGACGACGGCGATACAGCTGACGCATCACAAACAGATGTGTGAAAAAAATACGCTGCACTCGTTCCCTCCAGGACGCAATGTCCTGCAAAATAACCTCGTGCCACACACTCGAATACAGGATGGGATCAGGGAGCAGGGAGAAGGCGGGAACGCGTCTCCATACCAGGCTCAGGTCATCCTGAAGCTGCTTGACCCAGTCAAGGGCCTTCTCGTTATGACGGAACTGTAGGACAGCCTGGAGCGGGCCTGGTGCAAAGTGAACTAGACGACCGAAATACAGCAACCGTTTTCGCAGCAGCAGGCAGTCGAGGGAAGGTCGGCCTAACTGCTCACGGATGCGAACGTCTGAAAACTTCGCCTCGCCAAAATTGGGATCGCCCGCAATGCGTCGAAGGATGCGAATGTGTGGGCCGTTGAGCGCGCGAATGTACTCAGGCGTGCAATACATGATGTGGCGATTGAACAACAACCTGCCATGTATGAAGTAACACAAGTCCGCCGGCCCCCTTGCGGGGCCACCTGGCTGCAGGCCGGGAATGTGCTGCTCCCTGTGCCAGTTGCAGCTCCCAGTTTCCACTGTTACAGTTCTGCTTCTTGCTGCTTACTGTTCCTTGTTGATGAGCGCGCGAGGACGGGGGAGCCCAAACCAGCAGAACTACCACGCCCTGGGAGGGTTCTCAGAATTTCTGGGGGGGTAAAAATTGACACCATCACGGAGATCCGCAGAGTGAGGGTCCAAAAACACAAGGGAATTGCAACATGCTTTAACTTCAGTGGCACCCCTCACGCAGATCGGCGGGGTCAGGGTCCAAAAACACATGGGATTTGCCACATTCAAAAACAACGGTGGAACCCCTCACTCAGATCGGCGGTTTCAGGGTCCAAAAGTAAATGGGATGTGCCACATGTTTTAAATTCGGCAACACCCCTCACGCAGATCGGCGGTGTCAGGGTCCAAAAACACATGGGGGGATGTGCCATATTCCTAGAATTCGGTGGCAACCCTCACGCAGATCGGCGGGGTCAGGGTCCAAAAGCACAAGGGATTTGCCACATGTCTGAAATTCTGTACCACCGCTCACGCAGATCGGCGGGGTCAGGGTCCAATAACAGATGGTATTTGCCACATTCCTGAAAATTGGGGGCACCCCTCACGCAGATCGGCGGGGTCAGGGTTGAAACATAAACAGGTCCCGACACTGCTTCAGGGCGGCCCCCAGAGCTCATGATTTAGCTTTCGCATCTCCCATTATCCGAGACAGGGGGCCCGCGGCATGGGGCGAAACTCTTACGGAGAATGTTCTGTCACGGTTCAGGATCGACACGCCGCAACAGTCAGGCTGATGCGCGGCGTTGGGGTCCCGCGAATGGTGTTGTGGCATGCTTCAGGGTCTTCAAACGGTTGTCTCCCAATGGGGCACTTCCCGGTGGAAATGAATCCTCGTAGGGGCTTATGAAGAGAGAGCTTGCAGGAACGGATTATTCCAACATCGTCAAAGAACCTTGGGCTTACACTGGTTTTCCTCCTCCTCCTGCTTTGTGATTTCCCTTGTAAACAACTCCTCCATGTCGCACCCCTGGGCTGGTCGAAAAGGCGGGCCGGGCGTTTCGCCTGGGACTTCCGCACCACGCATGACCCTGAAGCTTAAAACTCGGCAACAGCTTCACGGATGGAAAGCGGGAAGCTTTCAAAATGTGGCTCTCGCCCTAGCGCCGCGTACATTCGTTTGAAACCTTTGCAAGAGCTTCACGATTTGAGGGCGGGCGGTTTTGAAAATCAGGCTCACGCCTTAGCGCCGCATACAATCGTCTTTAAACAAAGGCAAGAGTTTCGCGGATTGAGGGCGGTTCGCTTTCAAAATGTGGCTCTCGCCTTAGCGCCGCGCTTACTCGTTATCAAGCATTTGCGAGAGTGTCACAGATTCCCATGGTCAAAGTACCAAAAATAACGACCTGGAAGCAGGCTTGTGAGGGTGCAACAGTTACGTTGATTCGTTGTGTTAGAATCGCAGGAATGGCGTTCTGGCACGGTTCTGGATCGTTAAGATGCAACAGTCAGATTGATCCGCGAAGTTAGAGTCCCGAGAATGGTGTTTGGGCATGCTTCAGGGTCTTCCAACGGTTCTCCCAACGAGGCAGATCCCTCCGTGGAAATGAACCCTTGTAGGGGCCTGTGTAAGGGAAAGGGGGAGCTTGGAGAGAGGGTTTATTCCAATATCGTTGATGAGCCCTGGGTTTACACTGGTCCTCCTCCTCCTCCTCCTCCTTGTCCTCCTCTTCCTCCTCCTCCTCCTCCTTGTCCTCCTCCTCATCCTCCTCCTCATCCTCCCTCCCTCCCTCCCTCCCTCCCTCCCCTTCCTCCCTCCCCCTCCTCCTCCCTCTCCTCTCTCAGTCCCCTTCCAATGTTTGTTGCCCCTTGGCCCTCCACGGCAAGATGCCCGACCCGCATCATTTTTACTTAAGAAGCTGTCCGGCTCCTCCCTCCGCTCACTTGTCTTCTGCGCTGGTTACCCGAGCGATGCCAGTCGCTGGGCAAGGCTTCAGGGGCGCCTCGCACTCCCCTGGACCCTCCTGGGGAGGCTCCCATGGATAGGCCCCTGGCCCCCGTCAGCCCCACGCGAACGCAGAACAGGCTGGGAGTAGCATCTCGCACGCGGCGCTGGATATCCGTGCGATGCCAATCGCAGCAGCTCCTCCCTCCTCCCTCACTTGTTCGACTGGCGCAGCTTGCAAACCCACGATGCCCCACACGTCGCATCGGAAGTACACGGCTTGTAATGGGGACTCTTCCCCCTCCCAGACTGACTGAAGGGGAACTGGGACACACAAATAAATACACACAAATCAAAATATCCTCCATATTTTATCATATTTTCTGGGTTTTTGTCTTCCCCCCCACTTCCCATATTTTCCAATACTTTCTTGGAATCGCCGATTAATTGTGTCTGTGTTTTTTCCCCTCCTGACTGACGTCCCTCCCCTAGAAGGTTGGGCCGCCGCCCAGCGGCCGAGCCATTCTGGCCCTCTCTCTTCTCCTCCACCTCACTGCCCGCCCCAATCTTAAAGGGAACTTAGGACACACAAATAAAGACACACAAATAAAAATAGTCCCCCATATTGTCCCAGATGTTCTGGGTTTCTGTCTTCCCCCCCACTGCCCATATTTTCCCATATTTTCTGGGGGATCGACGATTAATTGTGTCTGTGTGTTTCTTTTCCTCCTGAACCTCATTGCCCGCCCAATCTGGCGGCCACTCCCAGCCAGATCTCCCTTGTTCTGGCTTAGAACGTCCCTGGGCGTGTTTGCTGCTCGCTCTATGGCCAGTGCGCAAATGGCCAGTTTGCGTGTTGGACCAGCTTTTCACAAAAGCGTTTCTTACTCACTCGAACATGCATCGCCGATACCTTCTGGTGGGAGGATTGGCCGTGCCAGGGGCGCTAGACGCTCGCACGATTTGGTAATTGGGGCTTTAGGCCCGCCTGTGCGCACCTGGCGCCTCTGTTACGTCAAGCCGCGGCACACGACGAACTCCCGTCAAACAGCCCTCTCCTCCTCCCCCCGAGGGCTCGGTGTGCAGGGTGTGTCTGCTGGCCCCCGGACGTCCTGGCCCTTGCCGACACGCCGGCCCGCGGCGGTCGTCGTCGGCGGAGCCCTCGGCGCAGGGGGCCCGCCTAGCCGCCACCTCCCGGCCCGCTGGGGCGCCTGCGCCTGCAAGGCCGGTCAGCATCGGAACGGGAGATCTCGGCATGTGTGTCTTCGCTCTCTTTTGCTTCTCGAGGGCGTCCAAAGAGGCGGGCGTCCGAAAGGTTGGGGTCCCGAATCCTGGCCCGAACCATGTGCGCGGACAAAGGGGCTGGCCAAGAAAATGCAACGGAAGAAGAAGAATAAAATAATAACCAAAAAGAAGAGTATGATGAAGAGGGGGCGATGAAATCTGAGAGACTTCGTGGCCCTGGCCATGATATCCACACACACACACACACATGGTGAGCATGTTTTCCACCACCACCACCGTAAGTTGGAGGGAGGAGGAGGAGGAGGAGGAGGAGGAGGAGGAGGCGGACCCCCCCTCTCCAACTCATGGTGGTGGTGGTGGAAAACACGCCCATCAACACAATCATCGCCCCCCTCTTGGACGCCCGAGCCTCTGGGGGCCCACGCTGGCCACGGCAGAGCCACAACTCGACCCTGGATGAAAAGCCAGCCCTCGGGAACCGGTCGAGACGTCTGGGGGCACCACGCACTGAGGGAAATGAAAAGCGGATCTGTGGGGGCGTACGCGTTCCAACGTTTTCTACGGTTTTCGGAAGTTCCCTGAGAGGTGTTCCGTGCATCGGGACGCATTTCAAGCGGCTGCGCCTCGTTGAGGGAGCGCCCTCGGGGTACCGAAATCGTCCCGAACAGACGCCAGAGACCCGGGTTCTGGTCCGGAAAGTTCGCATCTGGCATCAGCCGTTTTCTTCCTCCTCCTCCTCTTCCTTCTCCTCCTCCTGCTGCTCCTCCTCCTGATGTTGCTGCTCATCCTCCCACTATCCTCCCTCCTCCTCTTCCTCCTCGTCCTCCTCTTCCTCCTCGTCCTCCTCTTCCTCCTCCTGCTGTTTCTCCATGTTCTTGATCCTCCCTCTTACTCCTCCCCCTCCTCCCCTCATCCACTCTCCTCCTCCTCCATCATCCTGCTACTCGGATCGGAAAATTTTGGGGGTGCCGCGTCGAGACGGCCCTCCTTGGCGCTTCTCGTCCCCATGTAAGCCTCCCTGGAGGCTGGAGGCTGGACCCAACTCGAGAAGAGCCACTGTGGACCCCGGAGGGTCCAGGGACCGATGTTGAACGGATCCGGGCCAGGCTGGAGAGCCGCCGTTATCTCAACTTGCCCTCCTCCAGAAACCGGATCAACTCGGAACGCGCGTGGCAACGGCTTGGCCTGGACGTCCACATTCTTGGCGTGTGTCCTGTACTGCTGCCCTGATCTAGGTCCTCCTCCTCCTCCTCCTCCTCCTCCTCATCATCATCATCATCATCATCATCATCATCATCATCATCATCATCATCAGCATCAGCATCAGCATCAGCATCAGCATCAGCATCAGCATCAGCATCAGCATCAGCATCAGCATCAGCATCAGCATCAGCATCAGCATCATCATCATCATCATCATCATCAGCAGCATCATCATCAGCATCATCATCAGCAGCAGCAGCATCATCAGCATCATCATCATCACCACCATAACCACCACCACTACCATCATAATCATCATCATCAGCATCATCAGCATCAGCATCAGCATCAGCATCAGCATCAGCATCATCATCATCATCATCATCATCATCATCATCATCATCGTCATCAGCATCAGCATCATCAGCATCATCATACTATTCCTCCCCCTCCTCCTCCTCCTCCTCCTCCTTTCAGAGTTGGTTGGACATCACTCCACGTACGTATATTGAAGCATCACCTCTTCCATATCTTCTGCCTCCTCCTCGTCCTACTCCTCCTCATCCTCCTCTTCTCCTCCTCCTCCTCCTGCTCCTCCTCCTTCCTCTCCACCTTCGGGAGGGAAGAGGAGAGGGGAGGAGAACACCACCAATACGTCTGCGCGCGCCGAGAATGGGAAATAGACGGGCAAAGACAATTGGATGAGAAAAGATCGCGCAGCTCTTCGAGAAACAAAAGCCAGTCGAAACGCACGAGGAGACCAATGCGATCGGCGAGGCACAACGTAGGGCGGCGAGCGCCACCGAACGGCTAGTGCAAGCGCGGACCACGGCACGGCAGGATTCGATGCACGAGGATGCACGGGCACGAAGAGAGGAGGAGGAAGCAGCAGGCAGCAGGAGGAGAGAGGGAGAGAGGAGCAGAAGGAGCCTTCGCTGCCGGCGCCACAAGCCCCGCCCACGGCATGGTGGTGGGCGCCAGTGCAGCCGCGCTGTCCGCCCGCGGGACGGAGCCCGCCTTCCCCAGGGATGCCGGCTGCCCGCGGCCACCGCCCTCGCTGGGTGCCTGCGAGGGCTCACAGACATCCCAGCGCCTACCCCTGTTCCTCTCCTCCTCCTCCTCCTCCTCCTCCTCCTCCTCCTCCTCCTGCTCCTCCTCCTTCTCCTTCTCCTTCTCCTCCTCTGCCTCCTCCTCCTCCTCCTCCTCCTCCTCCTCCTCCTCCTCATAATCATATCATCCTCATTATCATCGTCATAATCATCATCATCATCATCATCATCATCATCATCATCATCATCATCATCATCATCATCATCATCATCATCATCAGCATCATTGTCATCAGCATCAGCATCAGCACCAGCATCATCATCATCATCATCATCATCATAATCATCATCATCATCATCACCATCATCATCATCATCATCATCGTCGTCATCATCATCATCGTCATCATCAGCATCGTCATCATCGTCATCACCATCATCAGCATCATCATCATCAGCATCACAATCAGCAGCATAGGCATCATCATCAGCACCATCAGCACCATAATCATTAATCACCATCATCATAGCATCAGCATCATCATCATCAGCATCATCATCATCAGCATTATCATCATCATCATCAGTAGCAGCATAATCATCATCAGCATCATCACCATCACCATCACCATCACCATCACCATTACCATCACCACCAGCATCATCATCATCATCATCATCATCATCATCATCATCAGCAGCAGCAGGTTCTTTTCGGTGGCTCCGTCGTTTGTGGACCATGGCCGGGAATATCCACCGCTTAGCATGAAGGAAGCGGGTCCTGAGGAAAACGAGTCCTGGACCCCTTGCCCGTCCCCTTGGCGTTTCCTGACAGCCCTGGGGCCCGTTGAGGGCGAAACAAACTCAGGCCCATTTCCAGGATCCGTTTCCATCGTGGCGACCCCTCCCCCCTCCCCCACCTTAAGCCAGCCGAAGTCCTGAGTCCCCCGCTGCTCGGCGGCTCGGCTCGGCTCGGACGCGGCGCTGCGGCCCGTTCCAGCCGAGGCCAGGGCCTGCCCCAGGGGCAGCAGGGAGTCCACCATGGCCTGTGACGGGAGGGGATTTGCCTACATGCCACGCCGATGTGTTGTTTCAGTTCCAGCGTTTTTCCTCGATTCTGCACCCCTCATCAAGCCCGCCTCGGCAGGCCCTGCATTTGTGGCCCTGGGCTGGGGAGATTTCCCCCTCCCCCTCCCCCTCCTCCTCCTCCTCCTCCTCCTCCTCCTCCTCCGCCGCCGCCGCCGCCTCCTCCTCCTCCTCCTCTTCCTCCTCCGCCTCCTCCTCCTCCTCTTCCTTCTCCTCCTCCTTCTCCTCCTACTCCTCCCCCTCCTCCTCCTTCTCCTCCTCCTCCTCCGCCTCCTCCGCCTCCTCCTCCTCCTCCTCTTCATCATCATCATCAGCCTCCTCCTCCTCCTCCTCCTCCTCCTCCTCCTCCTCCTCCTCCTCCTCTCCTATTGGCTCCTTGGCTCTGTGGCTGTCGGTTACCGCTGAGCGATAAGGCAGCCCTCCTCCTCCTCCCCTCCTCCTCCTCTCCTCCTCCTCCTCCCTCCCTCCCTCCCTCCCTCCCTTCTTCCTTTCTTCCTTTCTTCCTTCCTCCTCCTCCTCCTCCTCCTCCTCCTCCTCCTCCTCCTCCTCCTTCCTCTCCTCCTTCCCCCTTCTCATCCTCCTCCTCCTTCTCCTCGTCCTCCTCCTCTTCCTCCTCCTCCTCCTCCTCCTTAAGCTCGCATATTCGAGGATGTGTTCTTTTTAGCCTCAACTGTTCTCCTTGATTTCGGCCTCCTGAGGCCCGTTATCGGCAACGGAGCCATCACGAATGAATCCGGTGCGAAACGGCCGCGCTGTGAACAAAAAACAAGCATTGTCGGGTCTGGGGAAGGGATACGCTGAACAAGTCCAAAGAGGAAGGGGTGATCTGAGAGCTGTGTCACGGGCTGTCCTTGACCATGGGGATCTCATGCAAGGCTGGTTCAGGAGGCAACTCCTTGGAAGTCTTCTTCGGAAGGGCTACTCAACCCGAGCACGGGGCCACAAGCCGGACTAGTCCAAAATCAAGCACAAGGCGAGGCCCGATCAGGCCATATTGAGCGATATCAAAAAGAACCAAGCGGGATCAAACGGGATAAGGCTGGTTTTCGAGGAATCGCGACCGAGCATGGATGCACCCCACACGTCGTGACTGCTGTTCGCAGCCCAGGCCCCCGAAAATCAGCAGAAGCCTGGACATCCTTCTCTGAGAACGGCTTCCCATCCCGGGCCGTTTCTTGTCAGTCCCCAGGACCCGTGCAAAGCCTGCGCGAGGCCGAAGCCAAAAACCTTCCGTCGTGACTCTTTGTCGCAACGCGAGGATGTCGGGCACCTGCCTCGTTCGATCGTTCCGATTCGGGGCAATCGCCCCCCCTGAGCCTGGCCGTAGCAGGGCTCGTAGCACATCCACCTGACGGCGCACTGAAGAGGGGAGCCAGGAAGAGGCGAGGGTGCGCATCATGGCACGAGGCGTGTTCCCGGACGAGGGGAGGCCAGGGAACGCGTTGCTGCTGCTGCCGAAGAAGAAGAAGAGGAAGAAGAAGAGGAAGAAGGAGAAGAAGACGAAGAAGAAGAAGAAGAAAAGAAGAAGAAGAAGAGGAAGAAGAAGAAGAAGAAGATGGGGACCCCCAGATCTGGGACACGTCAGGGCCCTGGCCATGGTATCGCCCCCCTCTTGGACGCCCCCGAGACGAGCAGAGACGCCTCCTCCAGCAGCCACCGCCGGGCCTCTGCGAGGCGCGCTGTGGCACCACGGGAGCCGTCGCCGATGGATCGGCGGCAGGCCTCCGATAGCGAATCCGCACGCTCCTGGGCGCGGGTGGGCTGTCGGGCCCCCATCGGAGATGAGGGGGCGATTGGCAGTCCAGGCATCCCCCTCGGAGCCTATACTCTCCTAGCGCCTAGCGTTACCCCTGGTTCTCTCTCCCGGCAGCCAGTCGCAGGTCTTGCACTCGAAGATGCGCTCGCCCTGCTTGACCTCGCGGTGACACTTGTCGCAGTAGCCGGAGTCGCAGGCAAGCTGTCCCTTCAGCTCGTGCCCCTCTGGGCACCAGTCCTGCGAGAGGACGAGAAGAGAGGGAGGAGCGAGGCGGAGGGATGCGGACGGAAGAGGAAGAGGGGGAGGAGGGGGGAAGTGGGGACCAAACGTGGCAGTTCGACTGCAAAATTGAAGATAGCGCGCGCACCACCTGGCGACGTTACCGATCCGACCCCTGGATACAACAACGACGAAATAGCTCGGAAACATGGCCGCCGAAGCATGCGAGCAGTCACGAGATCGAAATCTCAAAATCCGAAGCTGATTAAAGGTTGACCAGCGAAGCCGTAAAAGCTCGCTCGACCCCAGTTCCGAAGCGACGGATCAACACAAGGTCTATGCCTGAAGAGAGCAGATCCCAAGCAAACGGCAGATTTCAATTGCTGTGAATAGTCCGCGCCTGACAAGTTAAGTTGCTTACGTTGGGTGCCTGCCAGCGTGGACTGAAAAACAACATATCCGAAACAGGTGTATGCCTGGAGCGAGCAGATCTCAAGCAGGCAACCGACACGCTGAGTTGCGTATATCTAGGTCATGGTAAGCGTGGACCACAAACAGTGTGTTCTCGTACCCGCGAGTTGAAATCTACGTGGCGGAATCTACGTGGCACAATCCCATCGATGCAATCCATGTTGTGGAAGACACGAGGTGCAAGCTGTGGGGCGCAATGTATGCGGAGCAAGATGTGCTGCAAGAGATGTACTGAACCCGCTAGCGAGCGGAAGATGGTGGTGACTATGGCATCGGAGCCAACGACAATGATGATGGTGATGGTGGCGGCGATGATGAAGAGGGCCACGACGAAGACGATGGAGACGCGAATAATGATAATGACGACGGTGGCGATGCATACCTCACAATGCTTAGAACACCAAGAAATTGTTGCAACGAGTTTGGTATGTGCACGAGTAGCCACGCGCGTGGACCCGCACCCGCGTAGTGATACATCAATGACTTCGGAATGCGCGAGCAAGTAGCCACATGGTCGTATCTGACAGATGTGAAGAAAGCACTACGTTCAGCAAACATGAAGCGAGTAGGCACAAACATAAATCTGGAATTGCCGTTGGAAATAAATGAGTGAGGAAAGCGGTTTGAAACGTGATCTGAAATGGTGTTGGAAGGATGCGCGTGCGTGGCCGGAGTTGAACAATTTAGCGAGGGCTCGTTGACCATGCACCAGTTAGATAAAACTGATACAACACAGTACCATGTGATAGATTCCTCAGCACGATTTTGGATAAGAAACAGGATGAGGCGAGAGGGAGTCAACGCAAACACCAGACCACTGTCCACCACGAGGAGCTTGCAAGCACTCCTGCCTCGGGATCGTGTTTGCCCTGACGCCCTGAAATATTACCACAAAAACTAAACTGGAGAATCGGCTCCCATTTGGCATGGATGAAGGATGAAGGGGGGGCGTCAACGGGGACTGGCTGGGATGGCACGCGTGTGGAGAAATATAGCGGGAATTAGAATAAACAAACAAACGAGGGGGATTATCGAGTCGGCCTCGGCGTGAGGGAAGCAGCTAATTGTGTACCCCACCCTTTTGCGATCCCCCTGTTCGTCCGAACCGAAGGAGGGCAGCGGGGGGCAAATTAGCCTTGCGAAGGACCCAATCCATATGCAGTTGTGAGTACCGCAATTGTGAATATCCTCTTTGGTGGCGATGTCCAGAGTGGGCCACGAACCCTGTGAGGGGTGTGCCGAAATGGCTGCGACGGACGCATGTGGACAGTGGCACTGGGGCCTTCGGTGGAAACCCTATGGGGCCACGAAACGTGTGAGAGGTGTGCCGAAATGGGTGTGGGGGACGCATGTGGACGGTGGCACTGGGGCCTTCGGTGGAGCTCCCTATGGGGCCACGAAACGTGCGAGGGATGTGCCGACATGGGCGTGGGAACGCATGTGGACGAATTCTATTGCAAATGTATTGCGCCAGGGAATTGGATTGCATTCTACTGTAACTAATATGTTGCATGCGAAAATCCAGCAATACATCTGCGCAACGGAATGCATTGCACACCCCAAATCTATTGCAGCCCCCCGAATCCACTGCGGTCCTAGGGGAGGCAAGAAATTGTCAAACAATCCCCCTTTGTTCTGTTTGCACGGCGCAGGGGGATCATGTAGTTAGATCCACAACAAGAGATCCGATCCCAGGATTCGCCTCCTACCCCAAACGAACGTCGGCATGGCACTCGGACATCCATACAAAGCAACGAGCCAGGAGCTGGAAGGCCAGACACTTCAAAACGGCCTTGTCGGGGCTCGGGTCAGGGAGGGGACGCTCCCTTCCGAAGAAAGACCGCTGAGCACATGCATCATGATTGGCCAGGCCCCTCCTGGGCGGCCCAGGCTCGGTGCACTCCCCCTGGCACGTGCTCCGATCCTGGGCCCAGGATGGGTCAGGCCAGGATCGGTGCGCGTGCATGTCAGGTCGGACGAAATAGGGAGCCCACAAAGGACGTACGCGCCCAGCTATGTACATGAACACGGCCCCTCGATCCGCGAGACGGGCCGCGTTATACGAACATTTGCGCAATGCGTACTCTGGAAACCAGCGTGGATTCATGTACATGTACGTCCTTCTTTCGCTCCTGACGAAAGGGGGAAACTTGCGCAGTGCACGGGGGGGGGGTCGCGAACCAGCTCACGCGGCCGGCTTCCCCAGCGGCCCCGGGCGCCGAGAGAGGCGACGGCGCATCGAGGAGCGGCGCCCTGCAGCGGGGCCGAGAGCGGCCGCGTGCGGCAGAGCTCGCGGATACCTGCCCCCACGAGTCCCCGGAAACCCGCGAGCGAGGCGCCCCCGAGTCCGGAGGCGCGGGGTCAGCCCCGTGGCCTCGACCCCCCCCCCGGCTCCCTGCCCCCCCTCCCTTCCTCTGGAGGTAGGAAAGGGGTGTGGCATAAAGGGGTGTGGTGCCAATCGTGGAAATCGAGATGCTACCTACGATAGGTGGCATCGCCAGACTCAGCCTTGGCACCACACCCCTTTATGCCACACCCCTTTCCTACCTCCAGACTTCCGTCCGACCCTTCCCCCTTCCGGGCCACCCTCCTCCCCTCTCCCCCTCGCCCAGTCCTTCCCCCTTCCGTGCGGCCCTTCCCCCTCCCGTCCGACCCTTCTCCCCCCTCCCGTCCGACCCGTCTCCCCTCTCCCGTCGCGCGACCCTCTTCTCCCCCCTCCCCCTCCGACTGGTCCTTCTCGGAGCCGCGCTTCGACCACAGCTCCAGGCTCGGGACCTGCCCCGCCCGCAGCCAGCGGGCCGCGGCGCGGCCCGCGGGAGGGAGGATCGGAGCGGCGTCTGGGGCGGGGCCTGTATTTCCAAAGGGGACCAAGGAGACACACATGAACAGACGCAGGTTCTAGGATCCCTGGGTCTCCAAATGTATTCTGAAGTTACGCATTTCCTCTCCACTTCCCACATTTTCCCGTGTTTCCCAGAACATCGACGTGTATGTGTACCCGTGTCTTTTTCTCACTCCTGATGTCTTCGAAGAGAAGACAGCCACTGTCCGGCATTCACCAAATGGCCATGGAGGAAGCGCCCCCGTCCCCTTCGTGTTCTGCCAGCGGGTGGCGGCCCCACAGGAGACACTTCCAGGCCGTGCGTCCGGCACCAGCGGCGTTGGCCCTGGTGCAGGACCGCCCCAACTTCATCACTCCGCCACCTGTGCTGAGCAAATGGCAGGGTCCGGGCACATCTAGGCATACACAGGATCCACCTGAACAAGACCCTCGGCCAGGGCCCGAAGATGGAAGGATGAACGGGCCCTGGCTGACTCGTGCCGCGAATCAAACGAACATCACGGCGGGAGGTTTATGGTCGTCTGCGGCCTGCTCGGGGAGCCACTGCCGGGACACCAAGCCCTGAGAAAACGACTCGGGGTGATATAAGTACAGCCGATCTCGGGTCAATGGATCGCGTCGGAAACGTGCTGGAAGTTGTGTGCACGTCGGCTGTGCGGCCTGCCTGCGGCTTCGAGATCGAGGCGCCGAAGATCGGCGAACTGACAAAGATCCGACTCCACGGCTGCTGTCTTGCGGCGATCGGCCCCCTGGGAGAGGGTCCAGACATCCGAAAATCGCCCGTTGGGCGGGCCCGCCGAGGCCGCGCAGTGCTGCCATCGCATTCCCGGTCTCTTCCTTTCACAGCCCACACGTGGCGCTGTATGTACCAGCGAGGGAGGAGCCCTGCGGCAGAGTGCAGAGAATCGACACGACACGACGACGAGAACGACTCACGACAGACGAACAACAAGGGGTCAGAAGTCGCACAAAACCCGCGGAGCTTTTCGCAGAGAGCAGCTGCACACCACCACCATGCCTAGCCAAGACCATCCTGCGTGGTTGCATGGCAGGATCGAGTCGGAAAATCGGATCGGACGGGAATGTGCTTCGGATCGGGCCGCATCGGCACAGAGTCGGAACCAAGTCAGATCGGCGGGGCAACACGGGGTCTCCGGACATCCCGACCATTTCCCCGGGGCGGGCATTTTTGTCCTGAGCTGACTTTGGACGGCCCCAGAGCCAGCGAGAGCACTCACAGGCCGAAAACGGCGAAAACTGCTGTATTGCAAATGATGGATGTCTGTGCTCCGGGAGTCGAACTCGAACCCCGAGGCCTCTCCTGGGGTGTCCTGGCCAGCATTTGAAAAGAATGCCGGCCAGGAGCCTCGCAGTGGCCCAAAACGGATTCCCAAACGCATCGACAGCTCGAGATGATATTCTCGATCCTCTCTAGACCTATCGGGTCGGGCGAAAGGGGGGGATAGCAAAGGGGGGGTTTGAGAATCAGCTCACGTAGCTGATTTTCCCGGCGCCTCCCGGCGCCGGGGGCGGCCATGTATCGAGGAATGGCCCCCTCGGTGAGGCCGAAACCAGCTGCATGCAGCAAATTTCGTAACCCCCCCTTTCCCAATCCCCCCCTTTCGCCCGGCCCGAACCTAGCTTCGCGGCGGCCGGGGCCCGAGGCAGGGCTCAGACCCCTGATGTCATGATCTGCTCGCAACGTCGACCCCCAGAGATCTCGACCATTTCCCTGGGGCCGCCTCCTCATCCTGAGTCGATGTTCGAGGGCCCTGGGCCCGGTGAAGGCCCCCAAGTAGGTCGAAAACCTCACAAAACCCCGTTGTGGTTTTCTCACGGCGCGAGGGGGGACAGCTACACGCAAGAGAGCGTTTCTTCATGTTCGGCGATGACGGGCGTCATGGGGGGGAGGGCGGGCGGGGGGGGTATGACGTAATGTCCCCCCCCGCCGTGTGGCTCCGGCACCACAAGCCGCGCCCGCGCGCACGACGCGACGAGCGACGAGCGACGAGCGACGAGCGACGACGGCGACGACGACGACGACGACGACGCGAGCAAAATGTAGGTGGCGATATGCCCCACGGCGCCTGTGTACACATCGCTCGCGTGCACCACAACGCGCGCGAACACCACAACACCTGCGTACACCGCAAGAACCGAGTGCAACGCAGCGCCTGTGTATACCACAGTGCTTGCGTACACTACAGCGCCGGTGTACATGTGTACACCGCAGCAACTATGTGCAACAGAGCGCCTGTGTACACCACCATGCTTGCGTGCACCGCAGCGCCTGTGCACGCAACAGCGCCTGTCTACACCACAGCACCAGCGTGCAACGCAGCGCGACTGTACACCAGTGCCTGCGTGCAGGACAGTGCTGATAATCGAATGCGACGTTCTTCCCTCCTCCCTCCTCCTCCTCCACCTCTACATCCTTCTCATCCTCCCTCTCTTCGTCCTCCTCCTCCTCCTCCTCCTCCTCCTCATCCTCTTCCTCCTTGCCCCCTGTCGTGCGGGGTGGCGCTACAGCGCACGTGCGCAATTCAGCGCGCAGTGCACCGCATAATGTTCGATTGAATCGGTCCACTTGGTTCTCGCACGGCCATTTTAGCTGGAGACTCCTGGACGCAGATGGGAGAAGTTAGGCGAGCGGATTCCAGCGGCGCTCCTTTGTCCATAAGGATTCCTTTGTGTTGTTTTCTGTGGAATCCACAAGCGCTCCATTTTGTCATACGGATTCCTTCTAACATTCGATATGCAAGTGTGACGCTGTGTTGCACACGGTTGCTGTGGTGCACACAGGCGCCGTGGTGTACACAGGCACTGCAATGCACGCAGGCATTATGTTGTACACCGGTGCTGTGTTGCACACGGCTGATGTGGTGTACGCAGGCGCTGCGGTGTACACAACAGCTGTTGTGCCCGCGAGCACGGTGGCACAAGCTGACGCTGTGTTGCACACGGCTGTCGTGGTGTACATACGCGGTGTGGTGTACACAGGCGCTGTGGTGCACGCAGGCACTGTAGTGTACACAGGCGTTGTGGTGCAGATCGCCACCTACATGCTGGTGCGACCCGTCCTCCGTCACTCCCAGGCATTCCCAGACGCGGCTGGCGCGAAAAAATTATGTCATCGACCCCCTCCACACCCTCTCAGATGATTGCCGTGATCGGCCCGGAAAAAAATTAACAGGCTCCAGCCGCGTCCGTGCGCACGACGACGATGAGCGACGAGCCACGAGCGATGACGACGACGACGACGACGACGACGACGACGACGACGACGACGACAACGACGACGACGACGACGACGACGACTGCGCACCAGACTCCTATGCGGATTCTTACCTTACGCGGACACCTACGCGGATCCCAGCGCGCACGGCGGCAGTGCCCGGAGCGCACTGGGGGGGGGGGGGGCGTTACGTCATAGGGGGGGGGAGCGGGGGGCACGACGCCCGTCATGCCCCAAGCAATAAAGAAATGGTCTCCAAGAGTGACGATGGGCAAGAGTGAACTTGGTCGCTGCGATGGCGGTCTGGGAGGCAAGGCCACGGCCGGGGTGGCCTCCTGCAGCCCCATGCCCGCCGCGCGGTAGGCGGGGGCCACGCCAGCGACGGCCGCCATGGGCGTCCCCAGGCCCCGCACGGCTCGCGCGCGCGGACGGCCCTGAGCAGAAGATAAACCGCAACGGCGTCTGCTCGCCCCGAGCTGGCCAACACGCGCGCGGCCTGACACGGACTCGCGTCAGCGGAAGCCCCCCGATCGATGAAACCAAAGAGCTCGAACTGTAATTGCGCAGAAGAAGATCCGTCACCGTGACCCCTGGCAAGTTGGGACCTGCTAGAATGCCAAGTGCTGCTTGGAAGGGTTATGCTATGTCCTGAGGGTTCTCCAGCCTTTCATCACGCTGCCCCGCGTGAATCGCCCCCTTCTCGAAGCATCAATCCATCGCAAAGAAAAATAGATTCGCGCTAACGAGGCCACAATCCTTTGAAACGAACTACGAGTTCGCGTTCCCGAAACCACCACCCCTACTAAAATACAACAGCTGCGCGCTCCCGAGGCCAAGATGCCTCTCATGTCATTTACCAAAACGAACGCCAAGGGGCAACAGAAGGCCCCAAGCCGGTCCAAGAAGGCCCACAGGGGCACCCAAGCCTGACTCACAGAATGCCAACGCAGCAACGACAGGGCCCAGACGAGATCCACGCGGTCTCCTCAACTAGTGAAGACAACAGGTGTCACATGCGACGGCCTTCCTCTTCCTCTTCCTCTTCCTTCTGTCCCTCTTGCTGCTCGTCCTCTTCCCCCTCCGCCTCCTCCTAGCCGTTTGATTGCTCCTTCACATTATCCCCATCAGCCTCGAAAACCACAGAGATCCTCCCCCTCCTCATCTTCCCCCTCCTCGCCGTGATCATCACAAGCACCACCACCAACATCGTCATCATCATCAGCATCAGCAGCATCATCATCATCATCACCACCACCACAATCATCATAATCATGATCAGCACCAACGTCATCATCATCATCAGCATCTCACTCATCATCAGATCATCAGTATCAGCATCATCACCATCGCAATCGATATCAGCATCATCATACACATCATGACGAACACCATGACCATAACAATCACAATCACCATCCCCATCACCACCACAATCGTCAACATCATCAACCTCATCCCTCATCATCAACAGAATCACCATCGCCATCCTCACCACCACCATCACCATCGCTACTATGAGCGGCATCATCATCATAATCATCATCAGAACCACAGACATCATCATCGGCATCATCACAAGTATCATTCTCATCATCGGCAGCATCGTCGCCATCAGACCAACAATCAGCAACACCACCATCATCATCAACAGCACCAGTATCATCACCATGAAAATCGTGACCAAAATCATGATAATAAAACCCCATCATCACCAACAGCATCGTCAACATCATCATCATCAGCATCGCCACCATCGTCGTCCTTATCCGAATCATCAGCATCACCCCCATCATCGCAATCATCATCGTCATCAGCAGCCTCATCACCATCGCCCCCACTACCATCACCAGCATCATCATCGGCATCATCATCATCCTCATCATCACAAGCACCCCCCCTTTGGCCGCAAAACCCCACCCCCCTCCCCCCCCCTTTCGCCACGCCGCCCCCTGACTCCGGAACCCGACCCCCGCCACCCCTACCCCTAGTCCTCACCCTAACCCAAACCACGAACCCTAACCCCAACAACTAAACCCAGCCCCAAAGAGTACTCACTACTCATTACTCACTGCCCACTACTGACTACTCGCTATTCGGTACTCACTTCTCACTAGCCCCGACTCACTACTCACCACTCACTATCCACTACTCGCTACACACCACCCACTACTCGCTACTCACTACTCCCTACTCACTACTCAATCCTCACTACCCACTACTCAGTACTCACCACTCACTACGCAATACTCACCACTCACTACTCACTAATCACTACTCACTACCCACTACCCACTATCCACTACTCACTACGCACGACTCCTTGCCCGCTACTCACTACTCACGACCCACTACTCGCTACTCGCTACTCCCTACTCCCTAGACAATACTGACTACACAGTAGTCAGTACTCACGACTCGCTACTCCAATACTCGCTACTCAATACTCACTACTCACTCCCCGCTACTCACTACCCACTACCCACTACTCACTACTTCCTGCTCACTAGTCACTACATAGTCTCTAGTCGGTAGTCACAGGTCACTAGTCCCTAGTCACGAGTCACTACTCACTACCCACTACTCACTACTCACTAATCGCTACCCATTACCCACTATTCGCTATCCACTTCTTACTACTCACTGCTCACTACTCCCTACTCCCTACTCACTACTCACTACTCGCTACTCCCTAGTCGCTACTCACCAATAACTACCCACTACTCACTACTGACTACTCTCTACTCAATACTCACTACTCACTACGCCCTACTCGCTCCTCACTTCCCCTACTCTCTACTCCCTACTCGCTACTCACTACACACTACCCACTGCCACTACCCACCACTCTCTATTCAGCACTACTACTCACGACTCACTACTCACTACGTACTTCGTACTACTCAGTACTCAGTACTCACTACTCACTACTCAGTACTCACTGCTCGCAACTCTCTACTCACTACTCACTACTCACTACTCACTACTCACTACGCACTACGCACTACCCACTACTCACTACTCACTAATCACTACCTGCCACCCACTACTCACTACCCACTACTCACTACCCAGTACTCATTATCCCCTACTCCCTACTCAGTACTCACTACTCAGTACTCGCTACTCACTACTCATCACTCGCCACACACTACACACTTATCCGTACACACAACTCATTATTCACTACTCACTACTCCCCACTCCCTGCTCCCTACTCCCTACTCTCCACTCACTACCCACTGCTCACTACCCAATACTCACTACTCACTACGCACGAACTCACTACTCACGACTCACCACTCCCTACTCCCAACTCCGTACTCCCTACACACTTTCTCTGGCGCAGAAAGGAGAAGCGAGAGTCCCCCCCTCCCAAGCTCCCTTTCCGGCGCAAAGGGGGGGAGGGGATGGGGATTCTGACCCCCCCCCCCTTTTTCAGCGCCAAGGGGGGGAAGGGGGGGGGGTCCGGAACCCCCCCCCTTCAAGGGGGGGGGGAGGGGAGGGTTTGGACACACCCCCCTTAAGGGGGGAGGGGGGGGGGGGTCTGGACCGCATGTGGGCCCAATCCCAACCCACTGGGCCCAATCCCAACCAACTGAGACCAATCCCAACCAATGCGAAAAGCAAACTGGGCCCAATCCCAACCATCTTGGGATAGGCCCACAATAGGATTTTAATTGTAGAGAAGCCCAAGACGAGTGCGAAGACCAAGTGACATTCCTTATGTCAACGCACAGGATCTGGAAGCCAACATGCATGCTCGAGTTGGAATTGGTGTCAGTTTTGGTTTGCACACGAGCACTACGTTAAGATGAGCAAGAGGGCACCGAAGCGTAAACATCGATTCTAAAATATGCAAATGGATCTTCCTGGTACTAGTAGTAGTAGTCGTAGTAGTTGTAGTAGTCGTAGTAGTAGTAGTAGTAGTAGTAGTAGTAGTCGTAGTAGTAGTAGTAGTAGTAGTAGTAGTAGTAGTAAGAAGTAGTAGTAGTAGTAGTAGTAGTAGTAGTAGTAGTAGTGGTAGTAGTAGTAGTAGTAGTAGTAGTAGTAGTAGTGGTAGTAGTAGTAGTAGTAGTAGTAGTGGTAGTAGTAGTAGTAGTAGTAGTAGTAGTAGTAGTAGTAGTAGTGGTAGTAGTAGTAGTAGTAGTAGTGGTAGTAGTAGTAGTAGTAGCAGTAGCAGTAGCAGTAGTAGTAGTAGTAGTAGTAGTAGTGGTGGTAGCAGTCGGAGACGCAATCGTAGTCGTAGTAGTCGTAGTAGTCGTAGTAGTCGTAGTAGTAGTGGTCGTAATAGTAGTAGTAGTAGTAGTAGTAGTAGTCGTAGTAGTAGTAGTAGTAGTAGTAGCAGTAGTAGTCGTAGTAGTAGTAGTAGTAGTAGTAGTAGTAGTAGTAGTAGTAGCGGTCGTAGTAGCAGTAGTGGTAGTAGTAATAGTCGTAGTAGTAGTGAAAAATGAAATAAGTAGCAATTGTAGTAGCAGCAGTAGTCGTAGTAGAAGTCGTAAAAGTGGAAGTAGTGGTGGTAGTAGCAGTAAGACAAATAGTAGTAGTAGTAGTAGTAGTAGTAGTAGTAGTAGTAGTCGTAGTAGTTGTAGTAGTTGTAGCAGTCGTCGTAGTAGCAGTAGTAGTAGTAGTAGTAGTAGTAGTAGTAGTGTAGTGGTAGTAGTAGTCGTAGTAGAAGTAGTCGTAGTCGTAGTCGTAGTTGTAATAGTCTGAATCGTAATAATGGTAGTAGTGGTAGCCGTAGTGGCAGTAGTAGTAGTAGTAGTAGCACTAGTAGTAGTAGTCGTAAACGGTGTCGTAGTCATAGTCGTAGTCGTAGTAGTAGTCGTAGTAGTAGTAGTAGTAGTAGTAGTAGTGGTAGTGGTAGTAGTAGTAGTAGTAGTAGTAGTAGTAGTAGTAGTCGTCGTAGCCGTATTCGTCGTAGTAGTAGTAGTACTTCGAATAGTAATAGTAGCCGTAGTAGTAAGAGTAGTAGTAGTAGTAGTAGTAGTCGTAGTAGTACTAGTAGCAGTGGTAGTAGTAGTAGTAGTAGTAGTAGTACTAGTAGTCGTAGGTAGTAGCAGTAGTAGTAGTAGTCGTCGTCGCAGTCGTAGTAGTAGTAGTAGTAGTAGTAGTAGCAGTACTGGTAGTACTAATACTCGTAGTAGTAGTAAAATAGATAGTAATAGTACTAGAAGCAACAGTGGTAGTAGTAGTAGTAGTAGTAGTAGCAGTAGTAGTAGTAGTAGTAGTAGTAGTAGTGGTGGTAGTAGCCGCAGTAGAAATAGTCGTGCTCGTAGGCGTGCTTGTAGTAGTCTGAGTCGTAATAATGGTAGTAGTAGTAGTAGTAGTAGTCGTAGTAGTAGTAGTAGTAGTAATAGTAGTAGTAGTAATAGTAGTAGTAGTAGTGGTTGTCGCAGTAGTAGCCGTAGTAGTAGTAGTCGTAGTCGGTGTCGTAGTCGTAATCGTGGTAGTAGTAGTAGTAGT